CCAGATTTGGTATTACGTGTTTGCTTCATGCATCAAGCACAGGCCTGGTTTTTATGAAGACCTGAGGCTCCATAAAAACTCCTGGATGTCAGCTGGAATCTGGAGTCCTCAGCTCTTGGGGAAGAGCATGTCCACTCGGGAAGGTGCCAGGAGCAGGCAGCCCCTGGAGTTATGATGCTGTGACCTGGTCCTGGTTCTGCTGAGCATAGGAAGCTGCTGCCAAACACCACCACAGGGGAATGGGTTCTTACCTCCCTCATCTCCTGGGCAGGCAGTGCAAAGGCTCCTTGCACTGCTGGGGATGCTGCTTGTTTATCTGTGCTGAAGGATTCCAGAGAAAAGAGCTACTTAGCTCTGGGGACACTGACATGTTTATAAGCACATGAAGGGGAACAGGAAAGCAGATCTCAGCGAGCAATGCAAAAAGCAGGAGATGAGGGCTCACAGGCTGAACATAATCTCCATATTCATAGAGCCCACCTGCCTCCCTTTCACTACTCCTGGGTATTCAATGTAAAACAGGAGGCTGTTACYCATAAATAGGACCTGAGTACCATCTTTCACACAAGTGGTTGTCWTTGTTCAGGAACACTGGTGACAGCCTCTGGCTATTCACTCCAGGTGCACTGAGGAGCCAGCTGTCCTTTTGCAAGCAAGCTGGGCAAGCAGCCTGAGCATCAGCAGCCTAAGAGCTACAGAATTTCAGAGGAAGGCATTAATGGATTTGCTCTCCAACACAGCAACAAGGAAGTTCTTAGTAAAACTGTCAGAAGAAAAAACCAAYAGTAGTGCCTGAATTATTACATTGTGCAATGCCTGAGTGTTCCGAACCAGGTGGTAACAATTCAGTGGGGTTGGGTCCAGTGAAGGTGAGAGGCCCCAGGAATTCAGGCAACAGCCCTTCCAGGACATTGCCTGGGGCAGCCCTTGTTTYCACCCAGAAATGAGGCCCTTCTTGCATGTGCTTACTGACTTGGAAGGCTGAGAAGGGCCATTTTCAGCACGGAAAGAGCACCTCACGGACAGGTGAGGACAGTCATGTAATATATCTTTGCAATCACCTTCCTGTGGCTCACTACAGTAAGCAAGGCTCAACCCCATTGCAGATGTCCCTCCAAACACAGCTGATGAACGTACTGGAGGCTTAAAATCAATATAACATGGTCTAGGAGATTCTGCTGGAGCAGGGAGGCCGGACTAGATAACCTCTGGTATCCTTAACCATTGTGAGTCTGGAGAAATACAGTCCAGGCAGGATGCCTCCCTAGGTAGCATGCCCTGTGTCAATGKCTCCTTATTCTTATCCACAAGCAATGGCTTCTGTACAAGTGTCCAATTAAAGTGAGTAACTAAGTCWAAATGGCTCATTAACAAGAAATGATCATTACCATGCTTTTAAGAGATGTTAAACTGTCTGAGACAGGCCAAGACCTCTCCTGTTGGAAAGGGAGCACCAGGTGCTAATTAACTTGAGATTGCATAAACTAATTCAGTGGTGTAGCTGGGAAGCWTTTAAMTAAACCTGYTAATACAGCGAGCTCTGAGAAAAATACATAAATACATTTGTACTCAGATACCACTTCTCACAGGCCAAACAATAAGAGCTGAGGAAAAGAGCAAGGATGCTTCAGACACGGGGTGCAGTGTGGGAACAGGAAGGTGAAGGACACAGGAAAGAGCTCTTTAGCTGGTAAACAGAGCACATGCAACAGCAGGAAATCATTAAAGAGYCTACAAGGTTATCTCAAATTCCCACGAAGCAACACAGCTGACTGCCCCTCTTGTTTTGCAAGACAAGAAAGCCGTGCTGGCTTCTTGGGCTGGTGCAGACACGCTGGAGGGAAAAGGAGAGGAGAGCGTGTGGTGGCCTCAGTTCCCTTGGTCAGAGCTTGGCAAAGCACCAAGTCATTTCTTCATCGGTTTAGCTGGGTAAACACACAGAATGGTGCCTGGGAGATTATGTAAAACCCCACTCATCCCCTTATATCTGTACTCCAATATCTAAAGATAAAAAGAGCAAATTRCAGTTCTTATTTCAAATCAATTTATTTAACAAACTTCAGGAATATTGACAYTTCCACATGCTTCAGAAAATGAACAGTGACCCACAGCTGCACAGGTTKCTCTATATAAGGATGTCTCCAAGAAAATCAACTCTGTTTTGTAATGTTTAGCTATCAAAATGCATTTTCTCCCAGCATAATTAAGTTGAGCAGTACTATACAAAACTAGTTGGAAAAAGAAGTTACTCTATTTTCCCCAGAGGATTCCCTACCCCCAACAAAAGGCCTCTTCTTYAGCTAGCAAAGGGCATCCTAAAATCATTCACAATTGCACCACGTCTAGGGTGAACTCAATGGCCAATTGTCCACTGCCTCCCTCTAACCCGAGCGGGAGCACCAGCCTGGAACCCGATCTGGCCGTGGCTGCCTTCCAAGGAAAGGGATGGAGACACAGCCTCTCACTAGCAGGAGCAAATGTACACACAGAATTGATTTCCAAGCCTGGGTGTCACCAGAGCATCACATCCATGTTTCCAGACAAGCCATAGACACCCTTACGTGTAGGGGAACTGTCCTGCCTGGCATGGGCACCACAACTGAATCATGCCTTAGTTAGGTTACTACTGGTAATACCAAAGAGCAACATTTGGGACCAGACCTTGCAGGGTGCCTCTGGCCTAAATGGCTCTGCTAAAGCCAACAGCAGTAGCTCACACAAGCATCTGCAAGTTCAGGTACCACCATGTCTTCAACAGTGCTGTGCAGCAAATCAAAAGCACCGTCACAAGCAGACAGAGTCACAGTGCAGCTTTCTAGAGGCAAGTTAAGGGCACAAGTCCTTGTCACTGGGCCAAGAAACCCCAAAAAAGCCCCAAAAATCAAAAGAGCTTCAGGAGCTGTCTGGGGAACACAGCTCTGAGCCATCTTGGCAGAAAGATGAGCAGATTGATGTGCAAAAGTACAACGGGCACCGTCCAGAGCAAGCCAAGTCTGAACCTGCACTGCAAAACAGGATTAGGAGTGTTGTCTTAAGGAGTTACAGAAGTCCAAGAAGGAATGGGACTGCACTCATGGAGGYAAGCGAGTCCACAGGAGCACATTCATCAAAGTGTGGCACATTCAGCTCAGGCACGGCTTAAGATTCTTAACTTTCAATGACARAGCTGTTTACCCATGGCTCACCTATGCAGGCTTCTTGGCCTTTGTGCTATGATGCTTTTGTTTCAGGTGAAAAACTGTGTCAAACTTGTTGCACAGGAAATTAAACCTTTGTTCAACAGACAAGGTACAGGGGTGAAACATATAGAAACATTTGTTCTAAAACAAAGATATAAGCAGCTTTACCAGTGAATACAAAGCATACAGTAAACCAGAAACCCTGAAATACTCCGAAGACATTTTTAACTGTGGGCAACCGAGTGTTGGAGAGGGAGAACACATGTAGTGCAATCTACTCTACAAACTTAGGTCCTCTCCCCTTTGTGTCAGACACCATGGAGAACTTCAAAGCTGTAGCAATTTTAGAGATCTTGACTCAGGTATTAGCAGAAGGAAGACCAGCCTCAGTACAATGATTTTGGCCAGGTCTCTCAGTATTTCTACCAGCAGTGATAGATTAAAGCTGCACCCATCAGCCCCTCCTTAGGCAATCACGGGCTGCTTCTCCTCCCAGGCTCATTGTTAGTCGGGGGAAGAAAAGGACCTATTCTGGTAAGGAGGATCCAGGGCTTTCTCCTCCTGTCAGAAACGCTACAGGAGACTCCCAGCTGGCGGGCAAGCGGATTTCCCACTGTCCCAGTGGAAACYGTGATAACTGAAACACATCCCAGAAGCTATGGTGGTCTCTGCATGCCCAGCCACCACACCTCATGAGCCCTCTGCAGAGCTTGTCCCTCYTGCCCTAAAAAAACAAAGGAAAAAACCAAGAACAATGCCCTGTTACCATAAACTTTGCAAGGGTTGTGGGAGAGCCAGTTTGGTTGATCAGTTGGCCCATGTCCTTCAGGGGTGGCAGGAGAGTGGTGACATTGGGGCAAGGCCACAAGCACAGGGACAAWCACTGCTGCCTGAGGAAAGCATCACAGCCCTTCCCTTCCCTGTACTCCTGTACATCACCCAACACCTACCCCCAGCCCCAGGTCAGCACCACCCAAAAAACTGAGGAAAGAACAGATAAARGGAATGTGCCAGAAGGAAACAAAACCTGTGACCAGATCAAGTTCTGTGTGGCTTCTCTTTTGAAAGAAAAAYGGAAGAATAAGATCCAGTGAAGCTTTTCAATACTCCACAACAGTGAGCATGGCCAGGCAGAAATCATGTGTCCCTGAGCCAGAACAATCCCATGAGACAYACCGAAGTTGTGTTACATGCTTCACAGGCTCTGGAATATGGGGAAAAGCAACACCAAACCCACAGTAGTACAGGTGTCATGCAAGCCTCAGAACGTRTGTGATGGACTGCAGTCTTCCAAACCTCTCCACGGTTAACAGGACACCCCCAGCTTTAATCCACTTCTCCAGAAAACCACATTGCAGCAGCAGCCAGTCCCAGTCTTGGCTTTGCTGGTGTTGCACAGCCCTCCTTGCTGACCAGTGGGTGGATATATCTTCTACAGGCATCAAGACTGACTCATGCTTCCCCTCCTTGCACACAAATTAACACAGGGCGAACTTTTCAAACTTCATTAGACTCTTTTTTTCCAGTCTAATTGGCAAAGCTGATTACACAAAGGCAGAGGTACATCCTTTGTGCCTAGATTTTGCCTACCCGGCTCCTGAGGTGTGTGAGGCTGTTGATGTGAAGTCCACTGATGCCGTTAAGGAAGAAGAGGAAGGCAGAAATGAACTCGCACCAGTATGTCAGCGTGAAGCCTGTGAAGGTGAGGTGATCCTTCACGAGGATGGAGAAGCTCAGAACACCAGTGGCCGACAGCAGAAAGGAGACAAGGATGAGAACGGAACCCATTGTCCATTTCCGCCTTGCATTGGCATCGTCGCAGACTTGGGACACCATCAGCAGCTCCAGGCCAAAKATGGCAACCACAACAGCAAAGGACACCATGCTCCTGATGGGAATCATCCCCACGCTCAGCCCCTCCACCTGYGCCAGGCTGAGGTTGGTGACACACTTCAGGACGCTGTCATTGCTAAGGGTGCAGAAGTGCCACAGTCCAAAGAGCTGCCCCCTCGCAAAGAGCCAGCGGCCGTCGCAGATGGAGATGGACGACAGGACCACGGCTATGGCCACGCACAGGATGATCAGGCTCCTGATGAGCGTCTCAAAGAAGGATTTCCGTGGTCTCTGGTGCGCCAGCAGCTGCTGCGCCTGAAAGGGGAACGTGAGGAAAAAACAAAACAGAGTTAACAGTGCTTCTCCAGGGTGAAACGAAGCCAAAGGGACAAAGCTGTGGGATTCTGTATTTGAAAATATTTACTTGTGCACTTCAAACCCCTTCTCGCAGGGGAAGGCAATGCGTTTACAGGCTGTACCTAGGAGAAAGGAAGGGTGGRTGAAACTCTCCCGGTTCCCCGGCTGCACAAACAATGCTCCCACATCAAGGCCCGGGASCGGGGTCACAAAGGTGCTGGACTGCGAGCAAGTTCCCTGCCCCACGGTCCTGCGGCACAGCCTCCTACTGTGGCAGGGCTGGAGGAAAACACCGGCCCTTGGGAGGATGGAGGCCGGTGGCTGGGACGGGGGAGGCGGCGGCAGCGGGCCGGGGGGATTTCCAGTTACCAGCCCTGCCCACCTGGGCTGGAGCCGGCCGGTCTCTCCTCCTCCGGCCGGTCTCTCCTCCTCCGGCCCGGACCCGGGTCCTCACCCCGGGGTCGCACGGCCCAGCTCCCCCGGAGCTTGGGAGGATCTTCGGCTGCAGCCCCCGCGGACCCACGTGGGCAACGCACTCCCCCTCCTCACCGAAACCGTGCGAGGGACCCGAGGTGTAATGGAAACCCGAGCCAAGCGCCCCTCGGAGAGCCACGTGCGGCGGGGACGGGGCAGCAGCGGCCCCGGGGAGCTCCCGCCGGCCGGAGAAGGCGGGAAGGGGGGATCCTCCGGCTGCGCCCCGCTGCTCCGGGAAGGGTYGGAGCTGCTCCGGGAAGGGGGGAGCGACCCCCGCCGCGCAGGGCCAAGCTGAGGCGGCATCCCCGGAGCGATGCGCGGCGAGAAGAGCGGCGGACGTACCTGCGCCCCGATGGCCGTCATGCTGCCGGCAGCGCCGAGAGACGCGGGCGGGCTGCGGTCGCCGCTCTTTATCTCCCCGGAGGGCGGAGAGCAGCCACCCCGCCCGCCACGCCCTCGGGGCCGGGGCGCCTTCGGGCCCCCCCGCGGCTGAGTCAGCAGCGCGGCCCCGACGGGCGGAGCTGAGCCGAGCCGAGCCGGGTCGGGTCGAGCAGAGCCCAGCTGAGCCGAGCGGGTCTGCTCCCCACAGCCCGGCACAGCGCGGGGGCAGCGCTGCCCTGGCCCGGGGCACGGACTCGCCCAAGCCCGCGGGAGGGCACGGCTGCCGGGCAGGAGCTGTCCCGGGCGGCGGCGATTCCTCCCGCCGCTCTGCGCCCTCACCCCGCCCCGTGTCCCCGCCTGTCACCGGCAGCCAGAGGGCTCCAGGTGTGCTCCGGCCCCCAGGAACTCAGTTCAGGGTGTTGCGCCGGTGCCAGGRTTTGGTGGACGGGGAGGCTGCCCAGGTCTCAGGACACCCCCAGGACACCGCAGGAGCCCCCGGCAGCRGCTCTGGGGCTGCAGTGATGGGCACTGCGGTGACACCCAGCCCCGGAGACACCTGTGGGTGCAGGAACACCTCGTCCTGCCGTCCCCGGCCGGTCCCCGCCGTGTTTGCGCCGGTGTTTGTGCTCCCGAAGCAGCTCGGCACCGATTCCCGGTGCAGTGACGGCCTCGCACCTTGGGCTGTGTGCGCGCTCTTATCTGTTACCAGCCTGCTCTGCCTTACCTATCTCTACCTRTACTGTCAGCACAAACCTCTCTGCTCATAAAGTTT